GCCTCAATTTAATGTGCACTATTTCTTGCAGTCTGCAAAGGCCCAAAGCCTCTGATAAAGATGTACTTGTCACAAACGTCTTTTCCACATACAACCAGCTCCCTCTTCACCTCTTTATCCTCTATCTAGCTGGACCATTTTTAGCAGCATAAGCCTTGGGAGGATGGTGAAGGAGGGCAGGAAAAGCACTGACTTTTGGTGCTGGGTTCAGCAGTGCATCCGCTGTAGACAAATGCAATAAAAGATGGAGGTAATAATAATAATAATAATAATAATAATAATAATAATAATAATAATAATAATAATATTTATTTATATCCCGCCCCTCTGCGAACAATCGGGGCGGCTTACAATAGTAAAATAGTACATAGTATAAAACAACTCAAAATCCCTTCCTCCCCTTAAAACATTATTAAATCAATACAAATTAAAATCAACATATAATACAATTGTTATTAAAAACCCTTCCTAGCGAGCAGCATCAGTTAGGAGCTCCAGAATTAACTTCCAGATGGGGTTCCTGAGTAAGAACTGTTCGAGAGTGGAACACACTCCCTTAGAGTGTGGTGGAGTCTCCTTCCTTGGAGGTCTTTAAACAGAGGCTAGATGGCCTTTACGTGGGTCTTTACCAGGGGACTTTTTAGGGGAGAAGCCCACAGTCCTGTTTCAGGTCTTACCTAAGATTTCTCAATATGGACACTGAGGGAGTTGCTGCAGTTACCTGCAACACTTGTGAGATGTTTGTCTTCTTGCCAAGAGATGTGGGGAACTTCACCTGCACCAAGTGCAAGTTCGTAGCCCTCTTGGAAGAGAAAGTCAAGCAGCTGGAGGCTTGGATAGCTACACTTCAGCATGTTAGGGAGCAAGAGGTTTTCCTGGACAGAGCAGAATGGGGACCACACAGAGGAAGTTGTTGAGGAGGAGGTCATTTCATGCACACAGGAGGTGGACACCTGGAGGAACGTCACACAGAGAAGTAGGGAAACTAGGGAGCCTTCTGAGAGCTTGCAGCTACAGAATTGATTTGAAGCTCTCTCCCTTATCAAGAATGAAGAGGAAGAGCAGCAGGAACAGTCCTCGGGGACCATACAGCAGACCTTAAGAGTACCACTACAGGGAACAGCCACTGCTAAGCCTCGAAGGAGGTGTGTGGTGGTGGTTGGGAACTCCTTGTTGAAGGGTACAGAAGCAGTGGTTTGTGGGCCTGACAAGATGTCCCGGGAGGTGTGTTGGCTCCCTGGGGCAAAAATCCATGATGTGACTGCGAGGCTGACAAGACTTGTCAAGCCTACTGATCATTACCCCTTCCTCATAGTCCATGTGGGAACCGATGATACTGCAAGGCACAGTCTTCAGAATATCAGAAGGGATTATGAGGCTTTGTACCTAATTGTACATACCCCAGAATGCATCACCTAGTATATTGGCAGTCCT